TTCTCAATAAAAATTTTATGTAAATATAATTTTGCTTGAATGCCATTGCGATCACTTGCTAATCACATCAGAATGACCCTTGAGAACACCCTTAATAAGTAATTTGAGCAAAGGTTCAGTAAAAAATTTGAGTTTAAGTTCAATAAGTAATTTGAACGAAGGTTTAATAAATAATTTGAGCGAAGGTTTAGTAAATAATTTGAGCAAAGATTTAGTAAGTTATATAAAAAATACCTTAAGTGAAGGTTCAGTAAGTAATTTGAGCAAAGGTTCAGTAAATAATTTGAGCGAAAAGTTTTATTATTACTATGTATTTTGTTATTAAATATTTGTTGATCAGCATAATAAAAAATTTTTTTACCTATTTCATCAAATGGGAGTCTCTAAACACTCCCATTTCATTTTCCGATTTCAAAAGTTTGATACACAAATAAGATTTCTTTATTTCCAAAATACACTATTGTTTTTTAATTCTAAAACCCCTTACTTTCACCTTTTAACAAGATAGAGCATTTGAATTAGTTATAACCATTTTCTTAATCAAATAATTTCATAATTTCCTGAGTCCTTCTGTTTTGTCACACTTCTGGTAAAACGTCTAAATTCTTCCCATTAATTAATAAAGATATAAGATAAAGAGAACAAATTTGCTGCTATATTGGAATAGCAAGCTCATTTATATATGCACTTTTTTTATTGCAGATTTCTATTTTCAATTATGACCCAAATTTCATAAATGAATCTACATAATATAATAGACAAATCTACTTCACTATAAGTTTTAAATAGCAAAAACAAAATAAACAATGATGAACCATGTCTCTAAACTGTGACAAAGCGGATAGACACTCTAATCAAGAACCATGTTAAGACCCATGAAACAATGTTCTAAAAAGAATTTAATACATTAAATAATATTTTATGTACTGTATAAAATTAAGTATAATTATTTACCTTCTTGAAAATTAGGCATTAATCAGCTCATATAAATAGTCTTAGGATGATTTGTTTGTTTGTTTATTTTGGGTTGTCTAATTTTAGCAGCTTTCATAATTTGATCTTTAATCTCTTTAGTAGGGTTATAAAGCTAACTATTAATTATCTTGTATATTTCTTCAGCAGTTGGTCATTGGGTAGAATTATGATTCCAGCATTTCTGAATTAAGTTAGAATAGGATTGTGATGTATCTTTAGTAATTTGTAAATAAAGTTTATTTTCACATTTAAGAGCTATTTGTTGATCATAAGCAATATTAAAATAAGGTTTTTCACTGGAGCTAATTTTCCACATTAATACTGAAAGCATATACATTAGTTGCTATTGAGTATTTACTACCCATAAATAATTCTGATGCAATATAAAGTATTACTCCCATGATCTCTTTGATTTTATTAGCTTGTAATTGTGAAATACAGAGATCTAAATCATTAATATTAATATAATCAAAACTATCCATAAACTAAAGCATATTTCCAGAGTAAATATTTCTGTTAAAAATTTAATTTGGTTAATTTTTAATGTAAACTTAATAAAATAAAAGTAAACAGCTTGCCTATGGATAAGGCATGCTTTATGAATTTGATACAAGTTATTTAAAATATGGTAAATTATCTTAATATTATCATGCCAGATGATTGCATCATTCTGAATGCTACATATATCACCTTTATTATAATACTTTAGAAAATAATAATATTGACTAGTGTCTTTATTTGTCATAAACCCTTGAAGTATTGGTAAAATCCATGTTAAGATTGACTAATAAGCCCAACTCTGCAATTTCTTAGTCTAAAAATAAAAACAAAATCATTAGCATTATGTATCAAGCATTATATATCACTTAATTGTACAGGTTATATTATTAAAAAAATCTTTTGGTAAATTTTTTGATTGTCTGATTGATTTCAATACAACATATTTTACATGGCAAATATATTAAACACATAAAAATTATTTTCTTTGAAATGAAGCCATTTATTATTTAGATGATATCCTTTAATTCTATATATATTTCTTTTAGCACAAAAAACAGTTCTATATCCTTCTCTACTATTTCTTCAATATCTGAAAACATTTCAAATGGCCACCATTCCAAATTTGTAAGAGTTGAAAGTTGCATATATTTGAGAATTTTGAATAAAATAATTAATCTCAATATTTTCTGATGTCTAAATAGAAAACTCTTGGTGAAAATGTGCTGAATTGCAAGATTTATACCAATTTCTTCCAGTTCTAATTTTTGTGCTCTCTAGATATTAACCATACCTCTTAAGCCTTATAGATTTTGTCTTATAAAATTTATAACCAGGTCTAAACTCTATCAAACATTATTGATGAAATCTTGGCATGTAGCTACTTCATCAATATTTTTATTAAGAAAGGCTATATTTAGCTAATTTTATACTCAAACAAATAGAATAAACACTTACTTTGTTTTCTGTCTTCATTTGATATTATGCTGATGGATTTATGATATAGAAAGATTTTAGTTATGAATTATTTTTAAAGGAAAGAATATTAATATTTTTATCAATATTTTTGCTGTTATTCAATATTCAATTATTACATACCAAATATTAATCATATTATTGGATTGTTCCAAATGGGTTATTGTTATACAAAAATATTGAACTTTTGGTAAATTCATTGCACTAAAAATAAAATAATTTTCTTAGCTTTGCCAAATTATTCAAAAGTACTAAATATTTAGTAAATCTTAGTTCTGACATCTATTTTTACAGTTAAGATTAACCTAATTTAGAATTAGGCTAAACTAATTTGATTTAGTGGTAATTTTATATTATTACTCAACCTCTTTTACTTTCTCCTGTAGCTATAGAATTACTGTAGAAGAACAAATAATGAACTTAAATTTAACTCTATGAGGACTATTTAGCAGTTACAACTTCAATAATTACAAAACTCTTAAACAGCAACAAAATAATTGTAGGACTGATACTAAAAATTGGGGTTCCTTTTTAAATCTATAAAACCTATAAAATTTATATATAGTTTTTAAAATTTTATAATAAAATATTTAAAATTTTTAGCATCAGCCTCTACAATAATTATTAACACAACTAACAATAAATAAGTAAGACTTCACAACTAACATATTGTACTGGGAAATAATTGATATAAGTAGTTGTTTAGTGCTGGCTAGTAGTTTTTACCTGTATAATGCAAGCCAGTATTAATATGAGCATGTAATATTGATATTTTAGTTGAGTTTGTGTAGCATAGTACTAACCAACCTGCATAATACAGACCAGCCATCAGTATGAGTATGTAATATTGATATTTGCTTATATAGCTGCTGAGTTTGTTGAGTTTTTGCTACTTAGCGCTAACCTGTCTTCATAATACAGGCTAGCCATCATTAGAAAAATAAATATAGCAGATCTGCAAAGATCTGGACCCTGAAATTTTTAACAAATTTTACAATATTTTGTGAACTATCGATTAGAACTTAACGAAATAGATACCATTCAAACCGTCATAATAAGACAGATTAAATAGTATTAAAATTGTTAAATTCTGATCACTAGAACACGAGATAACTGTATTTAAATGAATTTTGCAGCTATCTCATGATCTTGTTACTCAATGGTTCAAATTTAACTATTTTGATACTATTTGATTCCTCTTGATAAGACAGTTCAAATGGCACCAAAAATGTTAAAATTGGATTACTGGGTCACAAGATAATTGCAAAATATTTTTCGCAATGCAGTTCTGTACAGATCTGCAAATTTTCTCTGCACAAATCTGTGCAAAGCTGCACTATAAAATGTATTTCACGAAAATCTTACGAACTAGTAATCTGATTTTAACATTTTTGGTACTATTTGAACCACCTCACCAATAGGAATTAAATGGTACTAAAATCATTAAATTTGGACTACTAAGTAGCAAGATCATGAAATAGTTGCAAAATTCATTTAAATGCAATTATCTCGTGTTTTAGTAATTGAAATTTAACAATTTTAGTACAATTCAATCATCTCATCACAGCAGTTTAAATCGTACCTGTTTCGTTAAGTTTTGATCGATAGTTTATGAGATATTGTAAAATTTGTTAAAAATTTTCAGAATCACAAATTTTTGCAAATTTGTACTATATTTATTTTTCTGATAATTAGTATCTCTTAAACCATCCAGTGGGCAAATATGCCTGCTAAAATTTTTTTAACATGATTTTTTAGAATTACTAAAAATTTTATTAAGAATAAGCCCCCTATTACTAAGCTAAAATAAAAA